AACTCGCTCTTCTTCCCGACTCGATACACGCATGATAAATTAATTGCGAACGACGATTTGCTTGTCTGCATAGATCAGGAGTCGACCCGCACGCGTCACACGACTTGTTCGTCGATTCCTGCGGCGCGGGGTCTGGCTTCCTACGTACAGTAACCCAAAAGAAACAAAAACGCAACCAAAACAAAAACACGGAAAAGAAAAGACTGGGGGTTATTGTAGCGAACAGGTCAGTGATTCGTCTGCAATGTGATGACGTGAGTGTGGAAGTCGATGTCTCTTGGTACTGCGCAATTCGCCTAAACAGGTCCTCCGCTGGTGATGGTATTATAATTTAGAGGAGGGACCGGCGGCGTCTGTTTTCGCCTATCTGCGAGCTTCTCGTCCCCACTTTTTCACATGGGGTTCCCTCTTTGTGTCTTCTTATCAACATAAGAACATAAGTTGCGCGTGTTCTCTACGGCGACCGCCCGATAACGGCCCCTTCGTGACGAAACTTCTTGCTCGTCGGGCATGTTGCATGGGGTAAAATCGAGGGATGGATCGGGGTCGAGTTCGAAGCGAAGGGTTGGGGTCGTGATTTCTTTCTTGGCTCGCGCCTTCTCGTGCGGCTTATCAACCGTACAGCCGGACGGGCTTGGGCGCTTATGCCTTCGGCTGCAACACTCGACAACCACTCTTCGTGCGACCAACAAGTACCACATTTCCCCTTAATTTTGATTAAATTTTGGAGGACTGACCATTGTTCGATTTTCGACTTTCACCTCTATTCCCGCAGCTCTCTGTCGACATCTCTATTGTTTTTGATTTAATCACCCCCCATAAGGGCGGATCATCGATCCAGGCGTCACTTCGCGTGCGCGCGGCGGCCGCGTGTGATCGTATCCAAGGAGGTAAATTACCTCAGCCTGACACTACAGTGGCGCTTCAATTTTTCAGTGGGGCGGCGCACGTCTCCCCATTCATGTGCGGAACCCGAAGTAAGATTTACTGACTTATTGCACTCCCCCCCTTCTCCATTTCTTGACCTTGCGACGCTCTCCGTTCCACAGGTTGCACGCCGTCGCACTGACTTCCACCTGTGCGTCTCCTCATAGGAACTATCCTGCTTGTGCGTGCGCGACTTGCGGTGGCAGCCGTAGTTTCTTCCGTCGGAAGTATGCCACAACTGTGCTGCGCGGTAGGTGTTCGATTGGCTATCACGTTGTGTCCTCGGGCGTATAGCCGTACCATTTCACCCGGAGAATTAAGTTCTCCTTGTCGTAGCCGTGGTCCACGACCTTGTCGATCACATATTCCTGACTCTCGCCTCCTTCTTCCTGCGTGTCCAACCGTCCTTCCCCCTTCCGAAGAGCCCGCGGCTCATCCTCAACCTGCTCTTCCGAACCTCCCGTCTCTTGTAGATCGAGTGGGGTGCCCGCAGCTTCCTGATTTACAAACGATCCGTCATCCGTCCTGTCCTTCGCTTGCGCGGCGGGTTCTTCTCGTTCCCCTTCTCGATTGAGGAACTGTAGCGCTTGTCGTAGCCCGATTATCGGCGTGTAGTCCATGGGACTAGGGGCTAATTCGACTCGATCTCGCGACACGCGCTCTTCTTGGTCGCCGATGGCAATGACGACCGTATTCTCAGGTGACTCCTTCACTTGATACGGACCCGTAGCCACTTGTGCCAACTTATGTCTCGGCTCGGTGGCCGTGCCTTGCTCTTTCCGAAGGAATACGTATGATCCCGAAGGCATGTCATACTTCGGCTTGCGGAGCCTTGCGTCGAAATTTCGCTTGTAGCGCGCTTGTTCTTTCCGCAAGCTCTTACCAGCGCCTCTCATCAGGCTTTTCAACCACGACTGCCATTTCAGGTAGTACGCTCGATTCGAGCTAAATCCTTCCAAACTGCTGATGCTCACGAAGGCCTACTTGCTCCTGCACTCCGAGTTCGGCTCCAAGCACCCGCAAACCCCGCCCGCCCTGCTACATACTTCCATCCCGGTCCGCCACCACCCGCCAGAGAAGGGCACGCTGCACCAGTGGGGTAACGACGCCAACGTCATAGCCTGCGTCTCGCACACGTGGTGATCGACGGGCCGGTCTCGAATGGCGCTCTCGGCGTGTCCATCGGCGCCCCGGAGGGTGCCATTGCTCCGGCCCTGCTTAGAATGCTGCGCAAGAAAATGCTCATGAATGGAACATCCATGTCGTCTCCCCCCGCTGCAGATGTAGTTGCAGTTATTATGTTGTTTCTGAAAAAGAACCGCCATCCGTACACGTCTGCCTTAATTCGCAAGGCCATTGAGAACACAGCAAGGCCATTGCAACCTCCATGGTTGGGCCGTCCCTTGGAGAGAAATGAAAACCCGCTTCTGCCGCTGGCGAGGGCGAGTCGTCAGACGCCTATGAGTCTGGCTGTTACCAAGATGTGGTCTTTGCATGTGGGCGGGGGAGTATACATGCCCCTGCGGCACGCGAGTATCTGCGGCAATATGCTGCCGCTCGCGATGACTCTCGGAATCTTAACAGTACTACTGAAGCAGGTCGGCAGCCACTCTGTCAGACAAGCCGTGTGGTGGAAATGGTGGTGGTGGCGGAGAGCACTCCAGGCCAAGTTTAAGACTTGTACGGATGGCGGAAGAGAGACACATTCCTCTCCTGGGAGTGATCAGGATCCAGTCTCTCTTGAAGAATGGCGACTATCAATTCGCGCTGAGGATGGTTCCCCCGCCCGTTGAGGGTCGAACAGAACCGGATTCGGACCGATGAATGTGACAAATAGTATCTTTTTTCGAGGAACAACCGAAACTCAGTCCAAGCGGCGCGCCTCACTTGCCATTTCTGATGAGTGGGGAAGTTTTATGATTCCGCATCAAACTTGCTCTACTAGATAGTATCCATTTACTCTTGTCCACCACGTTTACAATAGTGCTCAATTAGATCTACTTTCAGGCGATGGTGCTCGAGGTTGTTAGTTACTTCTTGATACCGCTTTGCTACTCATTGTGCCCAGGTCTCTTTTGTCCCGCTTATGATTGGCATGATATCATTTGTACTGAAATGAATGTCGTCCATGCGCACTGACTGCACAGAAGGTTCATCCACAAATACTAAATTACTCAATTCGCTGTCGTAGTCATCCCGTCGTGCTTCCACCACCATATTGTGAAGTACAACATATGCCTGAACAACAAACGCGATATCCTCCTTGTAAAACAGCTTGATAGGGCGCTCGAGAACGTGCCAGTGCGCTATCAGAATACCAAACGCTCGCTCTACATCCTTCCGTACAGCCTCTTGCGCACGCGAAAATTTCTTGTCCTTGGTCGAGTTGCCATCATTGGGAATAGTCTTTACAAACACTACGTAGTCGGGCCCGATTATCCGGATAAATACCATCAGCAAGGAAGTAGAACAGATTTCTTGTAAAGCCATTGACAATGTACTCCATCCGGGGAGGAGGGGGGGGAGATCCTGATAGAATCCTACCCATCGTAGGAGACAGATCAAGAACGTTAATGGCGTCTAGAGATCCAGGAAATCCAAAGTGCATGAACCAGAGCCATCCCTCAGCATCCGCTATGCCTTCAAGTACCGCAGTAGGCTTCTGCTCCTTCCCTTTGTGCGCTCCAGCGAGACTGGTCGGGCATGACTTCCATTGGTAGTGATGGAAGTCGATGCTTGCCACAATCCCCGGAAACCCTCGAGCAGCGTTGATGCGGAGAAGCGTCTGCAGATCCGTTACTGTAGGACTGCGCAGATATTCAGCTCAAATTTCCTCGACTACTCCGCTCGTAAACGTCTTCAGAGATTCCATTGCAGATGACGCAGAAAGCCGGCAATATTCGTCGACGGGGTCTGCTACTACTCCATATGCCATCATGAGCAACGCTGCTGTAATACGTAGTAGCGGGCGAATACCAGGAGTTCCGAGAGCGTCAAATTTACGTACAAAGAACGGGCGACCAGACATTCGCTCGTACACTCGCTTAAAGACTGTGTCCGGGGCATTCTAAAACGCCTCTCAAAATCTACATCATCGTACACGCAGTCCTCGCTGAAATAGTCCCTCAAAGTCCTCTGCAATCCCCCCTTGAAGTCTCGATCTTTGTTTGGTCGCCGGGCTTTACGAGAGCCACCGCTCTGCCGCACTTTTGCAGCGACCGACTCATCTTGGTCTTCTCGAAACCGCCGCATGTGGAAGTCCATGATTGCATCGTCCCCATCGCTGTCGTCCATATATTTCAGGACGGTCGGAAGAGCTTGGCGCGGGTCCATGTCCGTCACTCAGTCAAGCTAGCGGCTGGAAGCCGCGCCAGACACCTCGCGTTATAATCGGCGCGAGCGCACCGTGCGCCACAACTGCGAGCGGAGCAGGTGGCAGACACAACGCGGTGGATAGGCAGAAAAACGTCTAAAGGCAGGCGGCGGGCGAAGTCGCGCGCGTTGTCAATGTGGATCTGCTGCAATAGAACTGGAAACCTGAGTAGGCAGAAAAACGTCTAAAGGCAGGCGGCGGGCGAAGTCGCGCGCGTTGTCAATGTGGATCTGCTGCAATAGAACTGGAAATCTGAAACTGGCGTTAGGGTTGACGCGATTAGAATCGGCGTGAATCGATTGAGTACACGCCACAAAAATCTATGGGAACAACTGCCGAATTGTAAGCTTACACGTTTCGGATCTATCCGGCTATACAGTGGTGGAAAAATTATAAAGCACCCCCCAAAAACGGGCATTGCTGGACAGAGAAAAGCGCGTGTTTAAAAAAGAGCTTCGTAGCCCCTCAAAAATGGACCGGGAAAAACGAATCTGTAAACGGTTTTATACAGTACAGCCAATATTTTGCATTACAGTCCAAAATCAAATTGACAGGTGGTAATATATGTAAAGCACCACACCCCAACAACACCACACGGACAAGTTGTTCAGTGTTTGGCGGGAGAAAGGCAACACCAGCTCTTCAAATAGTACCACGAACACCCCAGGTCCCTTTTCCATCCCTCTTACTGCTCGAAGACATGCCTCGTGGTCGGTCACTCAGCGCTGAAGAGCGAGGAAAATTTTTGGCGTTCCACGAAGCCAAATGGTCCCAATCTCGCATCGTGAAGGAGTTAAAGCGAAGTCAGGCGGCCGTGAAAAACTTTCTCCGCAATCCAGAAGCCTATGGGTCAAAAAAACGAGCTGGAAGACCAAGAAAGCTCACAGTCGCAAGTAGACGCATGCTCCTTCGCGAAGCATCCAAGGGTATTTTAGGGTCTAGAGAGCTTTATCAAGATCTACAACTGCCTGTGCAAGCAAGACGCGTGCGGCAGATACTGAACCAACACCCAACGTTGACGTATAAAAAGATTAAGAGAGTTCCGCAAATGCTTATTCATCACAAGACTGCGCGCGTCGCCTGGGCGACCGAAAAAGTTACCTGGACCATTCCGGACTGGAACAACGTCGTCTGGAGTGACGAAAAGAAGTTCAATTTGGACGGCCCGGACGGGTTTGCCTGTTGTTGGCATGATCTAAGACGTGAAGATCTAATTTTTTCGAAGCGCCAGCAAGGGGGCGGCTCATTGATGGTTTGGGGAGCCTTCGCAGGGGGGAAAAAGTGTGAACTGGCGATTTTGGAGGGCAAACAAACAGCAGTTAAGTACATTGGGACGCTCGAGAGCTTCCTGTTGCCGTTTGCGGACCAAGAACTGGGACCGAGCTGGGTCTTTCAGCAAGATGGGGCATTGATACACTGCGCTCATATCGTGAGGGAATGGTTTAATGAGGAGGATATGGTGGTTCTGGACTGGCCAGCTAAGTCTCCTGACCTAAACCCCATCGAAAACCTCTGGGGAATTCGGGCTCGGAAGGTGTACGAGCATCGACGTCAGTTTTGGAGGGGTTGAAGAGCTCAAAGAGTGCACCTTGTCTTCTTGGGATGCCATACCAGCTCAAACGCTCCACAACTTAGTGGGTTCAATGCAGAAGCGTTGTTTTGACGTTGTTAAAAGCAACGGACGGGCAACGAAGTATTAGAGACCCCATGCAGAGCACAATAAGACACGCTTGTGGTATCACAGCCCAGATTTGTAATTTGTACGGCACCCGCCGCCGCGGGTGCCTTACAGGCGGACGGACTACACGTGTGCATTACACGCGCACGCGCACGCTCACACGGGCATTACAGGCGGACGCCTACGCGTGTGCCTTACAGGCGGACGGACTACACGTGGGCATTACAGACCGATGGACTACACGGGTGCCTTACAGGCGGAAGATCTACTGTATACGTTACAGCCCGGAGGTTGTATATGATAAGGTACAGTAGTAATGGCACAGTACAGTGCATTACAGAATAGAGTACAGTAGTACAGTAGGACGGACAATGTCCAAGACCCCGCGACCTCGCTTATTTAAGCGACGGCGCCGGGAAATGACAGTAAACAGTCAAGGATCTTTTGGGGAACGGATTTCCTTCGACGGTGCGACACCGCGGGTCAAGACAAGCCTCTGACTTAGGCGACATTGTCGGCATCTGTCTTGCGACGTTTCCCTGGCTTCTATTGCCTTTACTTTACCTTTTCCATTCCTCCGTCTTTGCGACTACGCGGGTTAAGACTAGCCTCTAACCTCGGCGTGTTGCTGTCGCTCGACGTTCCAATTGTTTTCCTTTTTACTCTGTCGTTGCGACCACGCGGGCTAAGAATGGCCTCTAGCCTGGGCGTATTACTGTCGCACGACCTATTTCTCTTTCCCTGCATTGTGACGATTGTCAAGTCGCGGGCTACGACAAGCCTCTGGCCTTGGCGGCACTATTTACATCTGTCCCGCTCGTTCCCTCTAGGAGTTTCCGCTACTCGGCGCTCCGCCCGTGTCTGACACTAGTCTTTAGGCTCGGGTTCACCCCTGTTTTGTGTGTTCTTACACCACCCCTTCCAGTGCTGGTCCCATTCCGGGTCCGCACTTCGACCAGTACGTCGTGCTTTTACAGTCGGCCAACGTACTCCCCCTTTGCTCTACCACAGTCCCGATCTACCGCGGGACACCCCCTTTTGGTTGTTACCTCTTCCTCGAGCTAGCTCATAGCTGGCGACCGCCACTATACTACAACGCTGCTTTATAAAAATTTCCACTTGTCAAATGACTATTGAACTGTAATGCAAAATATAGTGCCGACTGTATAAAACTGGTTACAGATTCGTTTTTCACGGTCCTTTTCTGAGGGGCTGCAAAGCTCTTTTTTAAACACGCGCTTTTCTCTGTCCAGCAATGCCCGTTTTTGGGGGGTGCTTTATAATTTTTTCCACCACTGTAGAACCGTGTCGATGGGGATGCTCTCACACAGGGGTTTTAGACGAGAAGATACCGCCTGAAGCTACGAAATCTGACACAGAGGGTCGAAATGGCATAATCGAGGAGGTTGAAGGAATGGTTAAGCAGTTGGTGGGGTCTCGGGCGAGGATCTCTATTGAAAATTTCTTAAATCCCTCAGAGGAAGATGGAGGTAACTGCAATGGTATCAGTTGAGGACATGGTATCCAGTGCTATTATCGAAATGAAGGATGGCGAGGATGTGGATGGGGACCGAGCGGAAGAAAGCGCCACTGAGTACCGCGCATCGTTCACGATTAACGAGCAATTGAAAGCATTAGCAATTGTTAAGTCTTTGTTGGAGGATAGCGATGACATTTCTCCATAAATTCGAGTTGCGATCAGTCGTCAGCAGCGCAGTTTGCGTATCAAGAAGGGGAATGGCACAGTCCGGACGACAATATATACATATTTTAAAAGTAAAGCACAGACATTCTGAGAGATACAAGACATCGTGACAACGTTATGATACGGTCTCTGGTTGAGAACAACCTCCGCAATTGAAAATGGATTACTTCCACCGAGCATATCCATATCGAGAGGGTTCACTGTAGTTTCGAATAAACTAAAAGATTAGGAGTCTAACGGAGTTCGAAGCTATCCTTTTTAGACGGGCTTTTTAGTTTCAAAGTCATCAGCCCAAACTGTTTCATGTATGTTTTAAAAGGCTTTTTTGCTACATTTACAAAAACGACACGCAGTTCTCGCTAAACTATATCCTCCCGCAACCCAGAATGCAAGTACGGTAACAAGAGTATCTTTTTCCGTCTTATCGAGTAGGCACCAGTCCAGAAAAAAATGAGATGATAAGCGGTGTCTTTTGAGTCATTTGACCACGTACAAGGTCATATGTCATCCAGGCACAACGAGTATCCTACTCAAACGTTACTGAGAGGGAATTTGAGTCAAGAATTGCGTGAACCTGATGACCTCGCCATGCCTGGAGGGGTGTGTGTAATTATGGACGCGGTTCACCAGACTGAAGGGAATGCGGCTTCTTACCTCTGCATGTGTATGTGCAGTGCTCCTTCAGCATTAACTATGCATCATATTCAGAGAAGCAGGATCAGAAACGAAGACTTCAGCACTGAAACTGAAGTTGTCGGAATGAAGGGACACAGCAATCCACTACGGCTCCTGCAGAATATTGTTACGGCATGTTCGTCCCTTCCTGCAATTCTGCACGACGTGGTTCGTGATGAGACGCTGTCTGCACAGATAACCCCAATGCACCTGGCGAGAGAGCTAGTTCTGCCAAAGAAGGGAACGCGTCGGTCCTCACCTGAGGACTACGCACTTTTTGACGAAAAGCGCAAGTGTATGATATTGTCAGCCGGAGCCTGCAACTTCAAAACGTATCGAGAACTGCTGCGTTCGAGGAGGAGAAGCCTCACATGTGGTTTGGTGACTAAGGTGCCAACAGGCACAACATGACATGCAAGGAGCCATGAAACACACAAAAAGGGTGTCTCAAAAGTGCCTCTCGTCCGTGACAACGAACCATTTCTTTCCTGACTGCTCTACCCCTCCCCAACGCATTCTTCACCGATGGTGTCTAGCATCTACTGCCGTGTGTACGCCACTTGGCCCCCCAATTTCCACCTGCCCACCGCATGCACGCAATTCCCATCTTGCTGTTCCTTTCCTCCCGTACCAGTCTACCCTTGCAAGGGCGCATCCGCCCCTACACGCGCACATGCTACACGTTCGAAGGACCTCGACCGTCTTCCGCATCGGACAGCGCCCCACCATCTGCCCCCATCTCCCGCGGAGGCACCCCGCTCACCGTTCCCACATGCGAGTTGCTCAAGACACGTCCTTTGCGCCACGCGCATTCACAAGGCCATGTCTTCACCGGCACGCACGCCAATCTCTACCTATTCGCTACAGTACCTGTCGCGCGCGCTTCAGCAACGACACGTCCGTCCTACCGCGCCTACGATTGACCTTTCTCAATCGCGCTGTTGCCTCGCCGCACACTATGCCGAGGCAAGTCCGCCAGCTCTTCCCTACACCTCTACGTTCCTGCGTGGCTCTTCCATACTGTACAGTACAGCAGTTCCAAACGAAATGGGCCGACGCCCCGCTCAGCTTACGGCGCGGGCCCATCAAAAACCAAGTCGCTCGCCCGGGGGCATCGCCAGGCACCCGCTCTTGCAGGTCTTTCGGCAGGCGCCGTCCCCGTCGCGGCCCAGCCACGTGTGATGCGGCGTGTGCGGCTCGGCAACTCGCGTGGCTGCGGCGGCGGGACGGGCATGTGCGCCTCGCAACAGATATGCGATCATGAATTGTTGCTTCCGCCTCCGGTCACGCAGCGAGCGGACGTGCGGGGGAGATCGGCGGTGGGAGTTTCGGATTTTTTGTCGCGCAAGGGCGGCCGCTACACGTTGCGCGCGGTGTCATACAGGCGGCCGGGCGAGTCGCGAGGCCTCGATGCGAACGGAAGGCCGAGAGCAAGTCGGGCTTCTACCTATAATCCACTTCCCCACCTGAGCCGCGTGCGTGAGACGGCTATGCGTGCGGAATGGCCGCTGGCGCGGTGCGCGGGGGCGGTCGCGCAGCAGGCGGCGAGGGAGGGGTGGGTGCGGATTGCGGGATTGTACGTTCGTTGCGGAAGGGCGCGCATGGAATGAGACGGGCGTACAGTAGGTGCGACGGGAGCGGCGGTCGGATGAGGCGCGAGAGGGCGGGGCCGTTGCGAGAGCGGTGACTTGGCGGCATGGGGGCTTGGCGGCGGCCAGTGTTTTTATGTTTGTGTTCCTTTTCGGTTGACAGGGGCATCTCGAGCGCGGCGATGACGTGTCGCGTTTGTGCGGTGGAAAATGAAAGGCGGGGGGTTTGGCGGCTGGAGATGTCCGGTGGGGCGGGTCTTTATCGGGGATAAGATGTTCGTTGCTGGGACGCGGCAGAGCTACTGTACCACCTGTCAGGAGAGGTAGCCGCAGAGTAGAAGAATCTCTGCGCGGGCTGAGTCGGGGCAGGCGTTGCCGTTGCTCGCGGTGGAGTTACATGGCGTAGACTGTGCTGATGGTTGTGTGGGCGAGGCGGCAGAAGGCAGAGAGCGGCGATATTTGGTCGCGCGAGTGGGCGAAACGGTCGGCTGTGAGGTCGTTGACAATGAAGGCGTGAGGCTACAAATTAGTAATTGACTTGCACTCGTCGGCTGCGGGAAAGGGCGAGTGGCTTCTACAACTACAACTTGTACAGTTCTGTACTATAATCGTGTTTGCCGACATGCCGTATGTATAGAGTATCGCTTGTACCGCGCGCTGTCAGCATTCCGTATTGCGGGCTGTGATACATACTTTGATGTCGGCTTTCTGTCTGTATCCTACACTAGTGCGCTGGAATACGGTACCGGTACGGTAAAGAAACTGCGTTGTTGGCGATGCACGCAGAATGTAGAAGAACGGATGTGCGCTCTATAATGGCTGCCTGCTATCTACTTTAGAATGAAACATGTGTCAATGAAATGTGCCGTGAGCAAGTCTCGTGTGCTGCAGGGCCCTTGCTTGGGATTAGAGAAAATCTGGCGCCACCACACAACGGGTTTTTTTACCGCCTCCCACATTCTGGGATCTGCGCACCAACCTCAGGCCCGCGGGCCCCCAACACCCAGCGGCCTCGGAGCACACCGCTCGCGATGCGCGCCGCCACCCTCATTGGTCGCGAGAGCGAAAGACAGCAAAGTACGCGAGACTCAACGGAGGGCATCCTCCCCACCCATCAAAACCAATACTGTATCTCTTCCAATACCGTATCTCCACCGGGGGGCGCAGGTACTGCATTGGCCAACACGGTGTCCGCTGCACAATCTAAAAAATCTGGCTCTCTTTTTCGCGCATTCCATTGGCCGCCCCGGCGTCACGGAGCACCAAACACAGCCTTCCTCACCAACAACGGCATCCCTCCAAAGAAAAACGAGAAATCAAGGTACGGAGTCGGGCCAGGGAGATGTGCGGCGCCCCTTCGTCTGGGCAGATTCGTCGTCGTGTCCGGTATGATACCAACACACCACGACGAGGCGCGGAAAGGATATGGTTGCAGACGTCCACGGCGCTGCGCAGCTCCAATCAGAGACACACGCCCCTTGTGACGTGTCTGGCCATGGCGAGACACGCCCGCTGCCAGCGCGCATCTACTCGCCGCTTGCTTGGTGTGCGGAGGGAGGGCATGCGGAAGGGCGTTCTGCTAGCTCGCGCGTCTTGTGCGTCAAGCCACGCCCGCCTCCGGTGCCCTTGGAATGCTCGCGAAGCCGTCGCTTGAGGCACATAAGTTCGGTCGGGGCGGAATCGAAGAAAACACACCCTCTTGTGCAAGGTTTGAGCCCCTTCAGGTCACACTTGCGATTGCGACCTCCCCGCTCTTACGAACACGTGGTGCGGGACTCACACACGAGGTCTCAAGTCGTGCAGTACACGTTCGTTGCATTTGCATGTCGGGCAGATAGGGAGCTCGCGTCTTGGGACGGCGAGGTGGGAGGTACAAGTATAGAGAGGGAGAAGCGAAGAGAGAGAGGCGAAATTGAGAAGTGAAAGGAGGGCTATCGATTTAACAACTTCGCCTTGTGTCTGCGTCCATTCAACGTAGCATTCGTGGAAAGCGTCTAAAAAATCGTGTTTGATCTACAGTAGAGCGGGTTCTATTAACATGTTGGTGCGTCTCCACAGGCGAGGAAATGGAAAAAGTGGTCAGGCCGGACAACGCCTGGAGGGCAGGCAACACGAAAGAGTAAGGGAAGTTCGGATCTACCAATTGCAATCGACGAGCCCCTCATTTTTTCTCGTCTCTCAGGCATTTCTGGTCGCTCTCATTGCTGACAGAATCGGCGATGCGAAAAAGGGCCCACTTTTGGCCCTCAGTGCGGGATCCACCCACAAAGACCTGAATACACGACGCTTTGCGCTTGGTGCTTTGTTAGGGCGCAGGCCCGCTCACATTGTGTTTGCACATGTGGGCACGACATTAGTGCTCGTTTCATTGGCCGCACGGCCATGTCGCTTCCGTCGGGCAAACGTTGCCGTACCGCAACGCATATCGTCACGTGCATCACTGGGCGTGTCCCTGTTAGAATTGCAGACACGGATTTTGAAAAGAAAATCCGATCGCTAAGGAAACTTCCCGTGACCCTCCATACGCTTTGCCCTGTTTAAGCCTCCACCTCAACGGGCCAGCCACCGCATTAGTGGTGACCCGTGACGGCACCTGTCCAAGCGAGACACCGCAAGCCTTAGTACAGTAGACTAAAATTTCGAAATAACTTTGGGGCCTTGCTGCGAATGCACAGTGCAGATTTGCGGTAATTTCTTGACATTTCGTTTCGGGGCCGCCACCGTCGAGCGTACAAACGGGACTGAATAGTATCCATCCCTTGGGAGAGAGGCCCCCTGTGACGCGTTACCCGCGACGGCATCTTTCAGCCAATTTCCGAATTGGCGCCAAGACATGCGGAAAAAGCCGCATCAACTCCCATCCCTTGCTCCAATTGTACCTGCTCTCCCGGTCTCTAAGTACGCCCTCATCCTCCTGCGCCCTCCCATCCACGTTGTCCCCTTCATCGTCACGCCTCCATTTCATTCATCTCTCCTTTGACGATATCGGCACGTCCCGCTTCTCGCACCCACTTCTCTCCCCACCACCATTCCAAGGCGTGAAAACTTTTTTCCGGTACATTTTCCTTTGCTCTTCTCTTACCCACATTCTACTGCTCCACTTCGCTTCTGGTCATCAATTTCTCTCTCACACTCTCTCTCTCCTTCTCTAGCAAAATCTCTCGCGCACGCGTGCGTCTGTTCCATCCCTTACCTTACTCCGACCTCTCAAACTTCACTCCTTGCTTCTCACCGTCTGTCCTTCACAATATCCACATCCCTTGTTCTCATTCAGACAATACCCACGCACTTCCCTTCCCCTCTCCCGTCTCCTCTCTCCCCTCTCCCCTCTCCCCTCTCCCCTTCCACCCTCCTTTCACACCTGTTGCCCGTGCAAACTTTTTGGTGCACTGCTCCACCTGCCTCACCCGTCCTCTGCCCACCACACTTGCTGCTTGTGCCAGCAATATGCATCAAGTCTCGCTGAGGGCATGAACCCCAATCACACTCGCACCGTTGCACCCGCATCGTCCTCATCATTATCAGCAATTCAAAACGCTACCGTCCCACCTCGAAACCCCTCTCCGGCTCTCTCTTCGCACCCGCGTGCATTTTGGCAAAGAGTCACTCAAAACTACCCCCTCACCACATCGATGACTGACCCCAGCCTCATGCTCTCTGCCCAGAACCACGCCGTATACTCCCGCCATCAATACGCAAGGGAAACGTACTCTCAACTACGCCGTGCCCGGCGCTTGTCCGCGAACAATCTCGTCCCGCAGGCTTTACCCAAGGCCTTACCGGCCCTCAATCCCGCACCTGCACCCGACAGCACCGACAGCCATTCCTTATCGCCAACCTCTTCAACCAGCACCACCACTGCCACCACCAGCGCCACCACCACCGCTTCTGAGACGCCGTCATATGTCACTGCCTCCTCCACGGACCGTTCCGCGCTAGCTCCTGACTCTCGACCAAGATTTCAAGACAGGTCCACCGACCGGCCTGGAGCTGGTTCCAAGCGTGTCTCTTTGCGACCCAAATCCTCGCCAGCTTCTAGTTTACAGGACCGCACGACTAGGAGGGAGCGCGAGTATGCTCAGAATCGCGCCTTGTTGGCCAAGAGATTGCGCGGTTCCAATCCGGAAGCCTCTAATTCCACCTCCTCTTTAGCGGAACTGGCTGCTACTTCTTCTACAGTTTCAACCGATGTGGCAGACTCCCACGCCCCTCCATCGCCCCAACAGATAGCAAATAGACGCGGTCATCGTCGGAGAGCCTCGGAGAGTTCGAGTTACTTTGCTGCCAAACCCCGAGTCAAACGACTTCACTCCGAACATATCGCTCATCACCAAGGTGTTCCCATCCTAGCGATAAAGCGCCCCATTTCCCTAAATGATTTTCGACTCAGCAAGGTTGTTGGGACCGGTGGCACTGCCACTGTTGTGCGTGCTGAGCCGATTCTGGGCTCCGTTGCGGCATCTGTGATCCCGGTCAAGGAGGTGGCGTTGAAAGCAGTGTCGAGGAAGGGGCTTAACCGCAGGGCACAGCACTACCTCAATCGCGAAATTCATATCCATCAATCAGTTCAGAACCACCCACACATTGCGTCTCTATACAATGTGTTTCAAGATTCCGCGGGAGTATATCTTGCCATGGAATTGATGCGCGGTTCGGATCTGTATACAGCCCTCAAGAAAGAGCGTCGAGGTATCAGCGAAGTTGTTGCTTTATCCATCTTAACACAGATTCTTGATGCATTGCAATACATGCACTCTATGGGATGCGCTCATCGTGACATCAAACCAGAAAATCTTATGTTTGTTGAGAAACCCAATCTCGCTGAGGGACACGACACACCCGTCATCAAACTTGTGGACTTTGGGCTGGCATGCGTGCGCAATCCTAGTTCTCCGAGAAAGGAATGGTTAAGTTCTGAAAAGTGTGGCACAGTCAGGTATGCTGCACCGGAGATTGTCAATGAAGCCTCATATTTGCCCGAGTTGTGTGATATTTGGAGCGTGGGCGTAGTGATGTACTCAATGATTGCAAACCGGAACCCGTATACGGGCAAAACTGAGAAGGAAGTGATATATCAAATCCAGCACAACGAACTCTCATTCAAAGGTCCAGAGTGGGACAGAGTATCCGATGACACAAAGAACTTCATACGTTGTGCAATGAAACGGAAGTCGACTGAGAGACCGACTGCGGCCATAGCCTTAGAAGAGGTACGCCGAATTCACGATAAGTTGTCCAGCAGCACTTCAAATGAATCATGGTCGAGCGAAGACGAGGGATGGGTAGCTGAGCGAATGCGAAGTCGTCATACTGCCAGTTCGCAGCAGACGACACCCGATGTGCATGAGTTTTCGAGTCATGCCACCCGGCAGAGCAATCCACGAAGAGGTCGTCCTGATCATCCTCCTGAAGGTGATGAACGATCGTCATCACCCTGCAGCTACACTGAAGATGCTACCAGCCAACCTTCAAATTTCTTCGGAGGTCTCGTTAAGGCTTGGTTCAGAGGCACAAGTCCGAGCTCAGACAGAGACGGGACTTGTAACTCAGAATAGCGTTAGAATCGCGGTTTGTAGCCTGCTTCTTATTTTCGTCGGGCAGGCGCCTCAACCGCATGTAATTTAATCGCCTGTCGCGAAACATGTAGCTCATTCCAATGTTCATCACCTTGTACAGAACACCTTTCGCTCGAGTAACAACAGAATGTTCTATGTGCGAAGCTTCTCCTGGTTCCCGCGATATTGCGAGTAAGGGCGAGGTAGACGAAGGGCATCGTTTGCACATGGTTGCCCTACGGGGCTGGCAGTCGTTTCGACCACTTTACCATTCTTGATCAACCGCATCACTCCCAACGTCGCGATGGGCGGATTCCCTTCGTTGTGCGGCACCGACGCACTTCCCAGTGCCCTATGTTTGTCCTCTGTTTGTGCGGCACAGTAGTACACCGGGAGTCTTCATCTGACATTTCCTACTACTTCGAAGTGTCCCTTGCCTCTTCATGTCCTTTCGAGAAAATGGGCACCTGTGTTGGGGACATTCCTTCGACGACAGATGTAAGTTGGCACGACATCAACGCATGAACTGCCTGTACCGCGTCCACACCGGTGACATCGCCAGCGATCGTTTTACGATTTAGTAATCTAGTGCAGTCGTTGATAAGATGGCCTTGAGGGCCATGGGTTTCACGTACAAAGACCTTTTGGACCCTGTGACTGGGAAGTTTCTACATGGCGGCTAGTGAAAATTGTGGTTACAGTGGCAATGCTTTTTCCTGGAACAAGGAAGTTCAGTGGTCACCAAACCTTGTCCAGCAGGGGTACTGAAGTTGAGGTTGAAGCAGAATGCAGTTGCGCTACTATTCCCACCAGAATTTGGGCCCGTCGGGTAGTCTAGCAGTAAGGATCTCGTATCCCTTCGCCGTGACGAGAATGGTGTGTTCAAACTGGGCGGAGGGCTTGCCGTCAGCCGTAACAGCAGTCCAGTTGTCTGGCCAAAGGTCGTCTCTCCATGTCCCCATGTTGATCATCGGTTCGATAGTAAATGTCATGCCCTCCTTGCACATACCGACGGCCTTGTTCTTTTTGTAATGTGGCACATTGGGTGCCGTATGAAATTGTTCATCAATGCCATGTCCACAGTAGCTCTTGACGACGCTGTGGCCATTCGCACGAACGACCTTGTCAATCTGAGGCCCAAATTCTCGGAAGAGCGTGCCAGGCTTGACAATTTTAATAGCGGCCCACAAGGCGTCATGGGCGCAGCGCACGAGCTTCTTCCTCTGCTCTGAGGTCTTGCCGATGATAATGGTCTCGTTGAGATCGCCGTGGTGGCCGCCGTGGTACAAGGTAATATCAATGTTGAGAATGTCACCCTCTTCCAGGGGTCTCGTGTCCGGAATGCCATGGCATATGACCTCATTGACCGACGTACACGATGACTTTGGAAAGCCGTAATAGTTAAGCGGGGAGGGATAACTGTCCCTCTCAATACATGCCTGATGGACAACGCGATCAATTTCCTCCGTGGTAACGCCGACCTTGGCGGCCCTGACGGCGATATCCAGGACCTCCCTGCCCAGCCTGCACACCTTCCGCATCGCGTCAATACCTTTCTGGTCAAGTACTTTAAAGCTAGTGCTAGTCCTATTAAACTTCTCTTCACTCCTCGGCGTGCCATCCACCGCATAGTCCGGGAGTTGAATAGTGCTCGGGACGGTGCGGCGCGGCATGACGACATGTGCGACGCGCAGCGGGCCCGTGTACGAGTGGTTCTCGAAGGCTGCGCGGCGGCGCTTGGCGGAGAGATCAAGCGCGCGCGGCTGCGCGGGGGCCTTGTGCAACTCCTTGTGCTTCTTCCATGACCCGCGGAAGCAGTCCTGCGAGCAGAAGTACGACGCGGACACTAGGTCCAGCTCCAGCTTCACGCACGTCGGACACCGCAGCGTGCCGGATTTCGCGCAGCCGGGCGAGGCGCAGGGCATGGGGGTCGACATGGCTTACCGTAGCTGTGGGGAGAGAGAGGTGGGCGGGGGGGGGGGGGGGGGAAGGAAGAATGCACGATAGGGTTGTGTGGAAGATGTTTAGGAGAATGTTACACGACGGGGAGTGCGACAGGGTGGCGACATGTGGACATCGGTTATTCCACGATGTGGATTGCATACAGCCAGAAATCAGTATATTTCTGGAAGAGGCTGGCTGCAGGAAGAAAGTCTCGTTTTCATTTGGAACATCCAAGATCGAAGAGAAAACTGAAAATGGCATCCTATTTCCCGCACCCCTTGTACATAAGCCTACCCGTAGCTTCTTGTACGGTGCATACAAGTCGTCAAAACCGCGCTCCCTCCCTTTCTCCTCGTCGACCGTATCTGCTCCCTGCTCCCGCCCAACCCACCCCCCCTTCCTCCCCCAACCCCTCAACTCATGGTTCTAGAAGAGTCTCCCCCACACCGCGCGATGCGCCGCCCGCGCTCCCGCACCCCGCGCACCCGCCGCTCGCCCTCCCCCAAGCGCTCGCCCTCCTACTCGCCCCCGCCGCGCCGCCGCCGGCGCTCGCGATCTCCGCCGATGCGCGCGCGCGACGACTCCTCCTTCGACAGCCAGAGTTTCTCGAGCTACTCGTCCATGTCTCGCTCGCCACCCCCGCGTCGCCGGCGCACGCGCCTCTCGCCGCGCCGCCGACGCTCGCCGGCCTCCAGCGCGTCGTACAGCTCGTTCTCGTCGCGCAGCCCGCCGCCGCGCCGAAGGCCGTCACGATCGCGAAGGAGGAGCCTCACCCCGCCGCCGCCGCGTCGGTACCGCTCGCGCTACTCCCCGCCGCAGAGGTACCGCGCCGTGAGCCCGCCCCCGCGCCGACGCCGCCACGCCCCGCGGAACGACCGCAGGGACGAGCGGCCGGCAGACACCAGGAGGGACAAGCCGCTGAGAGGGGACGACCGCGCGCGCGATTTGCGCACCGTCTTCGTGTCGCAGCTTGCGCAACGCGTGCACCAGGACGATTTGTACGACTTCTTTTCACGTGCTGGCCGCGTCAGGGACGTCAGGTTGGTCATGGATCGCATGTCGTCGAGGCATAAGGGGGCTGGATATGTTGAGTTTTACGAGGAGGAGAGCGTGCCGTTGGCGGTCGCGTTTGATAGTACCTCCTTGCGGGGATTTCCTGTCGCCGTTAAAGCCACCGTAGATATGGCTGGCAGGCTACAAGGGAGAAAAGTGCAGACTGCATCGAAGGAAATGCAGGGGAAACCGGTTGATATCCCCGCACAGGCAGCAAATCCTCTTAAGGCTCACGACGATTCCGTCGTAGGCTGGTCGAACAAGTATCGAGCTCGGAAGCCGGATGCGGATGCCTTTTCGGCGGGGGCAGTCCCACGTGCGCATGCTGGCGCTCGCGTCCCACAGTCCTCGCAAGTGCCGCAGCTCGTGTCAATTGAAGAGCTCAAGCGCCTGCTCAATCCGCTCGGTCTTCCAATTGCGCCACCTCCGCTGACAGCCATGGGCGTGGGAGTCAACGTCGGCGCTGCAGGGCAACCGCTGGAACAGGTTCCCTTGCCCACCGCTGGTAGCGCGAAGATCGCACCCCAGCCGTCGGCTTCCTCAGGTGCATTCACACGCCTATACGTAGGTTCTATATCTTTCCAACTTACCGAAGCGGATCTCAGGGCAATTTTCGAGCCTTTTGGGGCAATCTCCTCATTGCAGCTACAGCGAGATGCGACCGGCAGCTCACGTGGGTATGGGTTCGTAGAGTTCCTGACGCATGAGTCAGCGAAGAAAGCCCTTGAAATTAACGGACTTGCCGTTGCTGGACGAACCTTGAAAGTTGCGTTGGCGAGCCAAGAGCATCGCATGGCGGTTTCCTCGACAGCAGCGGATAGAAATCTCATGGGGAGCGTCCCGCTTCCAGGGCCAGGGGGAGCGGCACTTGACGTACCCGGAGAGCTGGACGAAGGGAAAGATAGCGGGCTAGCGATCAACGCGTCTCAGCGTATCGCTTTAATGCAACAATTATCTAGAGGGGAAAGTATCGGCAAAACAGGGACCAATGCCGGAAAATTACCGGTCTGCGCAGAGCCCTCCAAGAACATAATGCTCGCGAATTTATTTGATCCCGCAACCGAGCAAGAAGGGTTTGAGTTGGATTTGAAGGAGGACGTAAGGGACGAATGCATTTCAAAGTATGGGGCTGTCGCTCATCTCGTTGTTGAGCCGAAGAGTCAAGGCGTCGTATTCGTCAGGTTTCAGGCGCGGAGTGATGCAGAAAAGGCCCGAACTGCGCTAAACGGGAGGTGGTTTGGAGGGCGACGCATCCAGGCTTCGTTCGTAGGAGATAAGGACTACATGGAAAAATTCCCAAGTGCCACGAACGAATAGGCAGTCCTCTTACATTCCCATCCACTTTAACGGCGTTTCATCGTCTCGGGCCGGGTGCTTCCACGACCATTAACCACACCTCTTTTGTGTCACAGCTTTCTCTTCTTCTCTTTCCAGGAAGTGTTTTACGTGCGCTTCAGATTATTCGATGCCTGCTACTGGCACAGATTTGCGAAGCCATCTGTCGTTAATTCGAATATGGTACGTATTTTGATTTGGACGCATAAGACGAATCTGCCTTGCCACTGTTTGGATCATTGCTTTTTTTTCATGTCGTTCTCAGGAGTAGCAGTCGTTACCAATTCGCAATTTCGTTGTTACCAATTTCAAGTAAACCGTGGAGTTCGGCGCAATATGCGTCATGGACATACAGTGCTGTGATTTAAAGTGCGGTTGCGATTGGAGTGCCATTCATAAGGACTCACATTTTGTCGAGGAACTGCAGCAGTTCACGTACTGAAACCATCGCTTCGCCCGAACACCCCCTCCTACTTCCCACAGTAAGGGTCTCCGACACAGTTCCATTTGCACGCGTACACAATGGTGCGATTTCTTCGGTCCACAATTTCTGATTTCGAAACTCGCGAGGAACTGCAAAGGTTTCTCATCATAGAGAGATTACTTGCTGTATTGCACATCCCGGCATCAATTTGCTTGGCTCTAGGTTCTCTCGCAGAGGTCGACGTCGTACCGTACGCCTCTGAATGGCAACCATGGCTCATGCTAGCTGCCAGTTTGTTCCTGGTTATCAGCAATTCAAGGGAAGCCAACGAATGCATCCGAACAGTCTTTCTTCCTGCGCGACAGAAAGCCATTTACAGCGACAGGGAAAAGGCAGAACCGATTGTAGGAGGCCAGATGCATATGTTTGCGGCCGTGATGATGGCGTTAGGGAGTCTATCTCTTTTCAACTCATGCCTAATTGCACTCAGTGCCCCACAGGAGAAAGAAAACGTCTTGAGTAAAAGGCAGCATGCCATGGCCTTTTGCTTTTTCCTTGTGGGGTCCGCCGGGAACAACCTGGCAATTGAGAAGGCCCCACGAGTCACTCAATTCACTCGTGGAATGCTCACTTTTCAGAATGTCCTATGCAGCGCTTCGTTTGGTATCTCAGCTTTGCTTATGCTCCCATGCTTCAAACTCGTGCAAGGTGCCGTTTTTCATCAGAATGCCCTGACAGCTAGTACTGCATTGGGAAGCTTCTTCGCGGTGCTCTCTGCGATGATGCACTATTTCCACACAATTGCTTTGGCATGGGCGCACATCGAAGTTTTCGAGAGGAAGAACTACGAAGAGGAAGTCAGAGAACAAGCTCTCGTCTCACGGGAACAAGAACCCAAGCCCGGATACATTCGTCGTTTTAGAGATGCATTTACATCTGGAAAATCAATATTCGGTCGGCAAGGAAATCAGCAATCACCTGCTGTAGACAAGAGAGAGAAGGGACCGTTAGGGCATGTAGACGTCAGCTCAAGCGATCTTGACGACGATATTTTAGGCCATGATGACTACGACGGCTCTTCATTAAGCCTTACAGGCTCGCTGTCCGAGAGTTCACGCTGGTCTGGGAGTGAGCAACATCCTATTCAGTCGTCGGAAAGAGTCGAACCTGCGAATTAGGTAGTTGAGTGCTCCCTTTAGAATCGTATGGGCTGTATTCAAGTTGAGATTTGATCGATATCGTTCTCGGAACAATACGGATATCTGCTTCCCGACTATTGTAATTGCCTGTCGGAACTGAGGCGCATGCTGTCGTGTTCCGACAGGACTTGAGCTTGATGACGTATGAGCAGGGCCAAGTGTGAAATCACAGGAACCCAGAATGCGAGGTAGTGATTATATGACGTGTTGTAGATATTTTTACAGCGTTTAGGCGATGAACAAGAACAAACCTGTTTAAACAAGGGATTACTACTTTCCTCTTATTTTGTGTTGCATATGTTAGGGAAGCCCAGAAAATATGCGCCGTACAGTCGTTGGGTCTTTCTCGGCTGGATAGGACAAATAGAAACACTGGTAGCGAAGAACAGTGTGTCTATCTCTTGAACATGTTTTACTCGCAACTAACTGGTCAGGGCGTTTGCAAGCAGAAAAGGCAATCCTCTCATAATGGATGTGAGATTTCGAAGAAGATGAGCGCCTGCGTACACAGACTGAAGCGTGGGAATTTCGAACATGGGCAGTTACATGGGGCCGTGGAAGCTAGATGATGGCTGGTCAGGGGCGGAAGTCTGAACGAGAGCTCTCATCCGTTTCTATGCTTATATAGCGAAGAGGTAGCTCATAAGCGTTCTACAGGGGAAGAAACGATATGTTCTTACCTCAGGACAGTAAGGCGGCGGTTTCGTGACCATCAAAAAGGGAGTATCGTTTGTGCCACTAGGCAGGGTCTTTATGAGGAGATACCAATCGTCGTTCATCTGCCGAGGAGTTGTATAAAACGCTTCTCCCAGGGTGATAGCCGTGGGACGGCTTCTTTGAGGGTGTTACCCGTCGGACCAGATACTGTAGTAGGTTTGTTTGAGTGGGTGAGCGAGCGGGACCAACATGGCACATGTTCGAACAGTCGTCCGCGCACTTCGGCTAGTACGGTATTGCAGGTCCCAGCAGGGGAGCGCGACCTTGAAATTCCAGTAGAATAGGAAATGGCCTGCGATGCCCAGCTGGGTTTTTCCTCGATGTGGGACAATTTTCACGCAAAATTACTGTGGCCCCTACGTCCCCCCGCTCTGCAGAGCAGTTCTGTACGCGTAACAGCCAGGTTCGAATTGGATAACAAGAATCCTCCACCAATTTAGTTGTCAATCGCGTGTTGCTCCTTGCCTGCCTCCACAGCTTCGAGGTTTATCCTTGTTTTCTTGCAAGGTGTCTCTGGTGACCGCCTATCGTCAATATAGGGTGACGGTGTGGGGCGTTGGCGTATCAGCCCTTGCCCCCTCTGTTGACGTGGTGACGGAATTGTCGGTGCCACAGTAGGACGTTCATGAAGCGTCGAAAGCGCAGAAGAACGATGCGTCCACCTAGTGACCCGGCAGAGGAAGCTGCCCACATGCAACGTTACAAGCGTCGTTCGTCAGAAACAAAGATTTGTGTGAATGGTATTTGCAGCGTTCATCCACAAAAGCGACTGCTTCCCTTTCCCACTGGCTTCTCAGATTCCGATAAAGCAGAACATCTAGCATGTACTGTGGATGGTTTGAAGGTAAGCTATGTCGGTCCAGGTCGTGATGAAAAAGATGCGGCATCCGTCAGGACAAATAATCCAATCCCGACGAAGGGTTTAGCGCTCTATTATTTCGAAATCACCGTGCTTGATCAAGGGGACACTGGTCGAATCGGCGTGGGGCTATGCGCCCAAAATGTGAAATTAGGGAAGATGCCTGGGTGGGAGGAGGATAGCTTCGCCTATCACGGTGACGATGGTCTGCTTTTCCGTCAGACTGGAAACGCCGGTGCGCAGTATGGTCCCAAGTATGGGACAGATGACGTCATTGGGTGTTGTTGGGACCAGGTAGACAACACAGTCTTCTTCACCAAGAACGGGAAGAATCTGGGTCCAGCGTTTAACAACCTCAGTGGCTCTCTCTATCCGACTATTGGTATGCAATCGACGAAAGGTCGAATCCGTGCGAATTTTGGAAGGAACCACTTCCTTTTCGACATCGAAGCCCACGCCCATCAGCAAAGACAGAAAATTCTCAACTCAATAACAGAGAGAAAACTGCCGACGGACTATCGAATCCTCAGTGACACAGTCTTGTCGTATCTCATGCACAACGGCTATTCGCTAACAGCAGCGGCATTTGCAAAGGATGCAGGGCGGGAGGCAATGTACGAACAAGGACAAGAGTCCATGTTGAAACGAAAAGTAGTCTGTGATATGGTAGTCGCGGGTGACATTGATGGCGCTATGCTTCAACTGGAAGAGGAGTTTCCGCAGGTGTTGAAGACGCAGGTGAATGTGCGCTTCCTGCTCATGACGCAGAAGTTCATCGAGATGATTGTGAGCGGCGCGAGCTCTGAAGAGACTGTAGAGTATGGTCGGGAGAAACTGCGAGTATTCCAAGACAAAGACTATCTGCAGGCGCAAGAATCTGCTGCTGGAACGGAAATCCTAAATGTTGCGGATTCATCAAAACAGTATGAAGAGACATTACGCGATGTCTACAGTCTATTAGCATACAGGGACCCCGCAGAAAGTCCAATGGGATATCTCACGAAGCAGAGCCGAAGAGAAGTAGTAGCTGACAAACTGAATTCAGCCATCCTTGCTACTCAAAAGCGCCCAATGCGGTCAATTCTTGAGAGATTCTTGTCGCATACAGAGTCTATCCTTAGCCAACTTTTGAAAATGGAGAATGGACCTGCCGCGCTAGTTGCCGTGCAAGACTTGTTATGAGCTTGTAGATAGAGCAGATGGCTTCAACAAAAAGGTTCTTGTTTCAATTCGTCGGCAGAGTGAAGATTCCCTAATGTTCAGTTTGTGAAGAGAGTGGCCTGCTTGCCGAGAACATACGGTGTGAACTTAGTCTGTAGAACGTCTAAATGCAAACAGTACACAATTTTGATTTGCGAGAGTTTGCTCTTGTCTGCCGCTTCGTCCCCATCCGAAAGACGAGCACCGAGACATTTTCGGGCAAAAAGCCCGTTTGGCCACCAAAAGCATCATCAAAGACTTAGTAAAAGCAATATATACGCTTACACACAGCGAACCACCTGTCTCTAATTTTTACTAGTTGGCAATTCGTTCAAATGAACAAGATGCGTTTCTTTGGGTTTACATGCATTGTACACTAGAGATGAGCTATGGAAGTACATTGAGCAGAATGTGAAGGATGTCTTCGTACGATCATGGTAGCCTTTCCATCCACCTACGATTACTGTTACAGAGCTTACATGTTCTTATGTTGTGCAGGAGGTTGTCTGCTCAGGAGTCAGAAGACAGAACGTCGAAAGAGTGCTCAAAAACAATCACATGCTCTCAGAGCGTGAGTTGGATAGTGTCTTGCACTGGAGCTAAGAGCCATCAAACAAAGTGTCAATTCTTGTCGTGCTGTTGGTTGTCCTTATCTTCCATCGACATGTCTAGAGACATGTCAACTTCCGAGGCCAAGTGCATGACAAGAATGTAACGCGTCGTCATGAGGTGATAGCTCTAAGAGACCTGCGTCATTCAGTATCGCTAAGTCCGGCAGTCCAAGCGTCCTGGACATCGGGAGCGGCGAGAGTTAGTGTTACCTCCTTCTTGACAGAGTCCTTCACAGCGGATGAGCTGTGATAAAAAGGACGAGTTAGTGTCAAAGCGTGAGGGGGAGATTTATGATGGTGTAATGATTGGTGTGGGCCTCTGTCTGTGACACACTTCGATGAGGGGTCAGCCGTGTGAAGATAGAGCTCAGCTTGAGGTGGGGCGTAAGGAGAAACCGGGCTGGAGGCCTCGAAAGGCGCCAGATGTGGAGCAGCAGCTGCTTTTTGAAGCGGTATCGCAACAGGGCTAACCGCGGTATACAAAGGGGTCTCGCAACGGCTCTCCGACGGCTGCAGCGCCTCTAGCGGCTCCTCGACGAATGCGTCGTCTGCGGCATCTTCATCATCGTGTTCGTCATCGTCGTCATCGTCAAGAGTGCGCATGTACGGCAGGTTTTGGGTAGATATGACAGGCAGGAACGAGGCGATAAGGGGTTGTGCTGGCGGTTGCCCAAGCTGGCGATGCATACCCGCGTGAAGCTCCTTCTCCCACATTCCGAGCTGCTTCACAAATCCGTGGTTCGGTTGCGCGGCAGGCCTAGCCTTCTTGATGAAGTCAAGGGCAACCTGGACAGAGACGCGATCGGCCCAGATAAGATAAGCCGCTACAAGGGCGACGCTGCGACTCGCACCCGCATAGCAATGCACGAGACAGGCGACCCTTTCCCCGGCCTCATGTCGCCTTCTCAGGCGTTCCAAGAACTCAACAGCGTCCGGGAAATGGCGCTTAAGCTGGTAGCCAGGTGTGTCCTCGGCGGGCAGCGCGAGGTAGCGCACGAGGTCTGGGAAGCGGGGGTCTAGCTCTTCAGCGGCTACGACGATGTGGGTGAAGGCATACGAGCGGACGAGGCCGCGTTTATAAGCGTGGGCGGCAGCGCCGACGAAGAGCCAGGGGAAGAGTCGGGCGGGCGGCTGGGCCTCCTGCGCGACCTGGGCGAGCAGGCGGAGGGCCCACGGGTGATGGGCCAGGCGGGCTCGCAGAGCGTCCGGCGCCGAGCGGTCCGTCTCGACCAGGTGCGGGGCTCGGTGGCGGAGTGCGGGCAGGCCGCCCTGCACCAGGAGGAGATGGGTGGTCGGGAGGCGGGATGCGTAGAAGGCGACGGCTGCGGGCGCGGGGCTGGAGAGGTGGTGCAGGGAGGAGGAGCCGG